CTCTCTCTCTCTCTCTCTCTCTCTCTCTCTCTCTCTCTCTCTCTCTCTCTCTCTCTCTCTCTCTCTCTCTCAAGTTCTTTGATTGCTCTCACAACTTTCCATGTGGATTATCAGAAGATGGGGATGTTGTATAGAAGTTAAGAACCATGATTCTCAATAGTCTTTGTGATAGAAGAGAGAGTAAATGATGCCCTAAATTTTTTTTGAGAAAATGATGCCCTAATTCACACAATGGTCATGTAACCTCAAGGAAGAAACCAAATTTGGGAGAGTAATGAACAGGGCCTTCGTCAGAATGGGTTTGTGTCGGATGAGAGAGAATAATGCCCCATTTCATCAAATGGGGTGCTCTTACCAGTAAATGATAATTTAACAAATACCCTTGTATTAGAAAAGGGCTTTCTTCAAAACGTCACTACAAGATAAGAAGTTCGATGAATCGAGGAAAGAGAATGATATTTGTCCTCGCAGTTTCAGTTCACAGATTGATGATTATTGGACTGTGTTTAATCCAAACGATCAGGTTTCTTCTTTAAGTCCAAATCCTAAATCTGCTTCCCCATTCAATCTTGATGGGTACATCAGTTGCAGGTCCCCCATTTACTTGCATCCTAAAATTAAAAATAATGGCTGGTTTTCTCAAGTACTAACTCCCCTTCGAAAATGGTGATTTAATCACCGCTTAGTCCTAAAAAGGTACAAGAGAAACCAGGAAACCAGTCCCCTCTTTTGGATTCACCCTATAATGGTTGTGTTCCACATAGGGACCAAGAAAGGGAAAAGAAAACCAGAGGGTTAGCAGGGGTTACCTTACTGAGAGCCATTCTTGTACTTTAAGGACTGTTACCTCTGAGCTAACTGGTTGTTTTCTTTAGAGAAAGAAAACATTCTTGTGCTTTTAGGTCAGAAACCTTTGAGCTAACTGGAAGATTTCTTCAGAGATATGCTTCTTTACTAATATTGAAACTGGGTCTCTTTAGCTCTCTTGCCCTGAAATTTTGGGATTTTTATCACTATCTTATGCAAAAGTTTTCAGAAGTGTCTGCTGAAGAGCAAAGAATGCAGAATTGCAGATTATCCGTGTAGTTACTTGTGACATCTTTGTCAAGCAGCATGGGGTGAAACTCCAAGTATTGAGAGAGTGAAGACAGAACAAGAGATACATATACAAGGAAGACACTGCTGAGATCTCAGTTGCTATGGTAGAAAGTAAAAACAATGGAGAAGGAAATTAATCTCTAAAGGATATGCAAAGACAGGGATGCGAAGCATAGACAGAGAGGAAGAGAGGCAGAGATGGAGGTCTAGGAGGTGTGGAGAGAAAGCGAGATAGAGAGAGAGAGAGAGAGAGAGAGTTTGAGCACTTGGGGGAAGTTAGCAACAAAAATGAGGATGGTTGATCAGGAAAAAAAAATTCACTTTGGTCGAAAAAGTACAAAGGGGGATAAGTGGGAGGTTTTGGGCCCACCTGTCAGTGGTTTAGAGGTATTTTCTGGCACCTTGTTTCTGGGAATGTTGTACTATTCCGTTTTTATTACTAGTACTGATATGGATAGTATCAATAATCTTAGGGTAGAGTGGACTAATTTTGACATGAAACATCAAGGAAGCCCACTAAGTAGTTGAAGTATCTGTAGTCTCTTAGGATAGAGTGGACTAGCTTGCTCCATATAACTACGCATGGAGTTGCCAGATAAGGAAACACTTACTCTGTAAACAAAAACCAGGATAGATATAAAGCAAGGGAACCACGTTTTTCATCCTACCTCTGGACCCTTTGGGGTATGCTCCCAAACAGTCACATTGAAGGCACAACTAAGCATTGAAGCATATCTGTAGTGGATAGTGTATATACCCATTAAAAATCTCTCAAAACCATTCAAGATCCCCCAAACTCCATTATTTTGATGTTGAGGTACCTATAAGGCACAACTTATGATGGACTAATGAGTTCTAGATTCAGCTGACCCTTGTTCTAGCATGGGACATCGCATATGACTATTGCTGAGTGGTGTAGCAAGCAAAATTGCTTTCTAAATATAGGGCAAATATATAAATTGCTTAGTAGAGGATGATCTGGTTCAGGCTCTGAAATCATCGAGGGAATTTGGCCTGTCAAAGTCTGATGCTTCAATGATAGCATGTAGTGTAGACATTTGAGTCATTGGCTTGGCATTTAATTTAATGTTTCAAGCAAGGACCAAGAGATTGACGCAGATAACATCTTATACAGGATACCTATTTATTATAATTCAAATATCCACGAACTGAAGGGGCAGCCAACAAATACATACTCAGAACAAGGACGCGTATGGGTGATCAAGTAGAAGATTTATACCACCAGTAAGCCCCTTTTGGGTTCTAAATGAGGCAAAGCAAAGAATCCTTCATATGTATTTAATCCTCTTTTTCCTAGCTCTGAACACTTTTTCAACATAGGATTGAAACTAAAAATTGAATAATGCTACAAAGTTGGATGCTATTTCAAAACTCAAAGCCTGCGACCCTGGATTTGGGTTAAAGGACAACTATAATGGCAAAAGAAAGAGGTATTCATTAAATTGAATCATGTACAATATGTAGAACCTATTTTAAGTTAAAAAAAGAGTGCAGTTAAAAAAGCTACAAAAAGACAGAACAGGAGTTCACAAAAGAGCCGGATAGGGAGTGAGCTATCTCCTCAACCTCCTTGCACTTCCTTGAGTGGGAGAGTTGTGGTTGGCCATTGCTTCCAGTCTCCTTGCAGTGCGAAAAAGAGCCGCTTGCTTCTGACGACAGCTGTAACTCTTCCTTTTGCTGCATACAGGTTAGAAAAGACAGTAAATTACTGACACTGTAAATTACTGTGTTTTTCACCTTGAAAAACACGCACAAGTTTTTCCAAGTCGACTGTTTAACCTAGAGACTTGACACGGATTTGGCAAAGGACAAGTCAGCCACCGAGTTCAGGTTTGTTAAATACTACAGCATCATTCAAGAGTCACAGGCTTTTCAGCTGGGGGGGAGGGTGGGGAGAGAGAGAGAGAGAGCGAGAGAGAGAGAGAGAGAGAGAGAGAGAGAGAGAGACGAGAGAGAGAGAGAGAGAGAGAGAGCAGA